CCAGTTTTGCATCCTGTGGTCTCCCTCTGCACTCTAGGCCCATGTGCCCGTCCAGGTTGGCTGAAGCTGGATGTGGGTGACACCATGAACACCCTTTAGGGTGTCTGTCTCTCATGGAGAAATAAATAAATACATTTAAAAGAAAGGAAGGAAGGAAGGGGGGAGAGAGAGAGAGAGAGAGTTAGAGAAAGAAAGAAAAACAGGCAAAAAACACCACTTAAGAGAAACTCTCTCCAGAGATTGGGCTACATAAGACAACACTTAAGGTGGCTGACTGCACTGTGACCTACATATATCCCCACCCTCCTGACCCCCAGCACTGAGGATAAAATGAGAAAAGGTAGGGGAGAGAGGAGGTAAAGGAAGAGGAGAGAGACCACCACACCCTCTGCAGTCCACAGGTCTAATTCTTTCAAAATATTTTTCAAATGAAAATTGTCATTCAAAAAATAAATCGGGGCAAGGGTATGTGAAAGAGAAAAAGAACAAAGATGGCTGCTCTTATGAAAACAGTGACTCCAAACATCCACATTAATAAGCAAATTTATTGGTAGGGAGAAATCCCAATCAATACTAATCAGGCTCAGCTGGCCCACTTTTCCTTGCGGGGTTTAATAACACTTCCTGGCCCTTATCTGATTAGAGTCCACACAGTGCATACTAATGAGGCCGTGAGCACCGAGCTGCCACTGACATCCTAGAGGGCCTCACGAGTGCACTTTCTGTCCCCAGTGTCTGTCAGCCAACGTAAATGAGGCCCAGGCCATTAGTTCAATGGTTTGTTGGTTAGTCCCTAACGGCGCTGACCCATATGGCTGGTCACTGTGCGTGGCTGAATCCTGTCATCTAGTGGTCACGAGGGACACCATGTGAAAGATTGACTCATTTGACACGGCACGAATTCCCCTCTGAAAGTACTTGGTTGTCAGGAAAGTCCTGACGTATTTTTCTGTTCTTCTATGCAAAAATACACCATGGCTTTCCTGACAACCTAAAAGAAATAGGAAACCGTGACTGGCAGCAGTGGGGCAGCGGTGACACAGCGTTCTGTGGTGCTGGACCCGCGTGGGCTTGGGTTCACATCCAGAGGTTCTTTCCACACATGTCCGTGATCTGGGCCGGCTGAGGGCTAGGGCTGGACCACTGCATGAAGATCCTGTTGGAAGTGTCTGTCTCCCTGTCTCTATATGTCCCTCTCATAGAAGAAAGGGGGGGGCAGAAGAAAACCAGAGAATCCCTCCCTTTCCAGGGACCCAACAATTGCCCCTTCTCACATTTCCCTAACTGCCCCAGCTCTCCTATCAAATCCACTCTCCATGGATTCCCTCCATCAGAGTAGGGGCCCCACTCCAGAACTTAGCCCTGGTTGTCTCCTAACTCCATCCTCATTCATGAACTGAAACTCTCCTTCATGCCCCAGCATGGGTGGATCTGTTACATGCTCTTCTGGCTGGGAGAAGGGAAGAACTGTCGGCATCTGTGCTCCCTGCACAGACTGAGCTTCACTCTGGTGTCAGGGTTGGGGGCGGCAGGGGAGAGGGATGAAGACAGGAAAGAGGTGGCTTCTTTCTGGGGGTTGTCTCTGCTTCTTTTTAATGGCTGTTAGTTTTCCCATGTGGTAAATGTCCAATACTAATCTTTTGTGAGAAGCTTGTATTGGGTCCCTGGGAGGGATATCCACCTCAAGTTTACTACCTCCTTCCTCCTCTGGCCTCTATCACAGGAGGCCTAATCCAGAGCCCCTCGCTCTGGAATCCCCCTATCTGATAGATAGCCTGCGGGCAAGTGGGGGCAATGAGCAGAAAAGATGACAGCAAGATGGATCAAGCCCGCCCACCTTCCACGAACCCACTGACAGGCATGAACATTATGTTTTCATTCTAGCTCTGCTAAATGTCCTGAAAGCACACTGCTTGATCATCCCCCCCACTCTTTTTTTTTTTTTTTTTTTTTTTTTTTTAAAAG